CCCGGGGTCCCTCGGGGACCGGCTTCCACGCCAAGGCTCGGCCAAAGTAGACAACACACAACTCATGGGCCGGCCCAAGAGTCTAAAACAACAGGCCGAAAGGGCGGTCCAGTCACCGACCGGAAGGTCTGGCCGAAGAAGAACAACGCCCGCTCGTCGACTACTTCGGCCCACCTCTCCGACCGGAGCGCTCGCTTCGGACTCCAGCCGCCTTCGGACGGCCTCTCCGATCGGAAGGCCTGGGCCAAACACTACTTCCGACTCCGACCCCGCGTCTCCGACTGGGGTTCGCAGAAACCCTGCTCACCGCTCTTCTCCGACTGGCGCAACCAGAGCCGACTGGGGCCATCCGACCGCGGACGCCCGCTCGGAAAGGACCAGGGGACAAACGGAGAAAGCAAGCCATGGCGCACAAATCAAACCACAGTACCAGGGACCATACCCTGTATGCCTGCAGGAACACTACTCTGCAACCGCCCTAACACAAACAGTATTGTAGGCGCCGATATTTCCCTCTACAGTATTGTGGGCGCCATTAACTCCCATACGGTAAGTCCCCCCACGTGCCTCTGGGCATCGATAGTATTGTGGGCGCTGGGATTTACCGTACCAAGTGAACGTGGTGAAACTCCTCACATGCCTCTAGGCATCAACAGTATTTACAGGCACCAACATTTGCCATTCCTGAAGAAGGCAACCCAACCTCCCACATGCATATGACATTCTACAGTGACATCAACAGTGTTGTGGGCGCCTACCATTATCTTATACCCGTCGGCATGGGCAACAAAGCCCAGTTGCATACGTACCCTCACCCTCTCACTTGTAAAGCCATCCTGCGCTCCCTCCAACGAAGGAGTCTTTTTGGTCAACCAACATCGATCAAGTTCACTAGCTAACAACCACAGAACCGCCGGGTTCGGACCTCAAGCACACGCTTGAACACTTAGCTCATAGCGGAGCTCCTATCGCTCTCGGCCCTTCCGACCGGAGCCGACCGGACCTCTTACACACCTCTTCTTTCTCCTTTGTAACCCCACTGCAAACTTCGAGCACCTGGGCTCAGGAATAAAGTCACTGACCGACTCAAACTGGACATAGGGCACGTTGCCTGAACCAGTATAAGCCCTGTGTCATTGAGTGCTAAGCCACATCCGATCACAACGTACGGTAAAACTACAAATATTTACTAGTTGGTCACTTTCTGTACCGACACAAGGACAAGAGGAAAAATCGCGTCCAGGTCTGATCGGAGCGAGGGTCCGAGAGGACTACGACGCGATTGACGGATCGGATTTAGGGACGAGTCAGTCCCAGTCATCAGGCCGGCCGGTCTCCAGTGCCCAGAACGCGCGTGCGCTTCGGAGACAGTTGAAAAGAGAGGGAGAGAGAGAGACAATCCATGTGTTTTTTATGCTAAAACACATGTGTGTTGTATATCATTTCTGTATTGATATTTGTTTAAATTAACTAGCGTGATGTAGCGTGACCACATGCCCACACACCCACATCCCACCCTACAAGCCACCCCAAAGATCCATGCGCTACCACCTGGGATGGAACTGGAAGTGAACAGCCGCACAAGGTGAGGAGCGCTTGGGAGGAGAGATAAGGAGATTTTGGTCCTTTCACATGGCTACTTTTTTTTGTCTATTCTTTTCGCCACGTAGTCCATCGACACTCAACATCGTTACAAATCAGGGACAAACAAATGCTTCAATTTTGAATCAGGAGGGCAAAATCATAAAATTAGGAAAGTAGGGGTAAAATCATAATTACACTCTAGAGTAGAGACATAAACACTAAATTCTCATTAAACTAAATAGCTCATTGTTGAATGGTGAATTAATTCTACCTACCACTATCAAATCAAAATCAGAATCTTTTATGTATCTCTGAATTTACCAAATTCTTTAGTTCAATAAGAAGCGAAGGGGGTGTGGAATTGCTATGGACTAGAGGATGGAAACTTAGCTGATTGGTTGCATGGTTGTGATGCCACTTTTCAGTTCATGCTTAGGGCACGTTCAACGGGTCTCTTGACCCCGTCCCTTCGTCGCCGTTGTTACAAAAATCCCCCTGTCGAAGCCTGGAGACGGAGCCAGCGTGTCGCCTCGGCGACGGCGGCCGACCCGTGGTCCGATCTTGAAGACGACCGAGCAACGGCGTTATGCGATCTTTGTCTTCCCGACTTCGACGGAGCGCAGATCCGGGCGCTTCGTCTTGGGCGGGAGGAGCCATCGCGCCAAAATATTCTTCAATGACGGTGCTCGAGATGTCCGCGCAAAAAGGCACGTCGCGGCGGCGGCGCGGCGGCGATCCACACCGTCGGTCGCAAAAGCGGATCGGCGGGCGGCGCGCGCTTCGGCCGCTCCCTCGGTCAGCGTAAGCGGCGTTAATTAGGGGGCGATGCGACGACCTCCACCGTTGCTGCACGGAGGATCCTCGCACTGGCATTGGCGGCAGACGCACGCGCGTTCCCGCTCCCAAGCATGCTCTCCTCGACCACGCCGTCTCGGTCCCGGGAGCGGCGGCCAAGCTATCTCACATGTGCGAACCCGTGATCATCTTCTCCGATTCTTTCGACCACGACTTGATGGACTGATGGTGGTGTCTTTCATGCGCAGAAACAAGGTCGCTATACTACTCTGTGATACATGTATTTGTATTCTAAGTTGCGGCGCTTCTCGACAAAGACAGTTGATCTACTTTATTTCTCTGAGTTGCCATCTACTTGCTGAAACTAAGTCTTGTCTATAGATTTTTTTTCCAGTTATCATCTATTATGTGATCCTGAGTATATTGTTTACCTTGATTTTGACAACAATTACCATTGCAGTCTTAGGAACTTTTCAGAAAATAAGATGGTGGTGATCTGTCCTCAAACTTCTGTTCAGTTAATAGTTGATTCAGTTAAACTGCAGTTTTCTGAATGTGCTTATTTCACTGTTGTCGCTGCCTGTGCTGATTTCATATGAGAAAACGAATAGCCAAATGTGCTCATTTTCCGTTAATGCATGTTTGTTTATTCGAGCACATATGGCAGCAAGTTAAGTTGATGTTCATACTTGAATCATTTTTCATCAAAGGCAACATAATGATATATAAAATTATATTCACCACTGATCTTGGCAACATGCGAAGTATTAAAGTGCTTGCAGATGATCCCTCATCTCCGGGTTGTACGACCTGTCTTTTTAGTTGTCTATACATCAGAATCCAGTCTCTTGGAGACGACCTCCCGTCCTTGGGTTGTACATGCCCTTAATATTTAGTAACACTGATGTTCTGTACTACACATCAGCAATTGAAAATGTTGTGCTAAAATAAAACTTTATTTAAATGCAAAGCATTATCATCTTTTAGTGAATTCTTATCGAGTTTATCTAATCGTGGTGCAGCTTGCATTGGTAGTATAATTCATTTGTTAATTGTGATCTTATTATTCTAGCATGGTTGACGAGAGACATGCTATGTGCAACTTTTTTTGTTTCTCTAAATTTTTTTTATTGTAGCTTACATACATGGGCTTTAATTAGGCCTTGTTTAGATCATCTCCAAATTCCAAAGTTTTTTTACTCTCTCTCCATCACATTAATTTTTAGACGCATGCATGGAGCATTAAATGTAGGTAAAAAAAATAACTAATTACACAGTTTGGTTGTAAATCACGAGATGAATCTTTTGAGTCTAGTTAGTACATGATCGGACAAAGTTTGTCAAATACAAACAAAACATGCTACAGTGTCCTAGTTGCAAAAATTTACAATCTAAACCAGGCCTTACTATGAAGCTTTGGCAAAGGACTCCGATGGCATCGTGTTATTTTTTCTTGTTTTTTTTTCCCGATAAGGAGACAACATGCTGTTAGCTTGTCATTCACAGGTCCTATAATTATTCTTTGTTTCCTTTATTTAAAGCGTCACATATCTATTGGAGCATAAACCGATACTTTGTCTAGTAATCATCATCAATTTTATATGGGCTTCTAGTAATCATCATCATTTTTTATGGGCCACTGGTATTTATTCTTCGTTGCCTTTATGGATATTCTTCGTTTCCCTATTATTTCTGTATTGCATTGGATTTTTAACGATGGATGCGCCTTATTGTATCATTGTATATATCAAATTATATATTGTATACAAGATATCTAATGCATATGAAATTGCTTTCATAAACACGCTCTAAGCCCCTGGCATGTGGACCACCGTGCGGGCTCACCTGTCATCTATGCCAGAGAGCACGGGTGGTCGGTCAGGTGCGCGCGCGGCAGTAGAGCGGAGAAACGGTTTTGTGGTAGGAAGAAGACCCGCAACGCCAACCCACGGCGGTGTGGGCCGCTCCGCACGAGTTCCCCCCGCCGCCCGGCATGGGGAGGCGCAGCCCGGTGAAAAAACGAAGCGGTGCCGGGCCGCACCGCAGTGCGCAGTCCCGCGGCCCATCCCCAGCCCCAGGCCAGGCTGGCGCGACCCCTTTCCGCTGCACTGCACATGCCTCGCACTCGCCGACTCGCGCCACACCGGTCCACGCACGACCCGCGTCCTCCGCACCCCTAGCACACCACACCACGTGACGACCTCCCTGCCCATGCCGCTGGGCCCCGCACGACCCCAGCAGTGTGCCGAGCTCACCCGCCGTCCACCCTGCGCATCGAAAAGAGAATCTCACCGAGGTCCCAAAAACTGGCCCCACCGTCGTACCCTTGCATCACGAGGCCCTGCCGGTGGGTCCGCCGGTCACAGCGTCACAGTGGACCCACGTGTCATCCAGAGTGCGTCGCTTGCAAGCGGGTTCAAAATTACATAGGATCCGATGCGCAGCCACGTCGTGGAGGCTTTTTTGAGGAGCGCGGAGAGAGGAAGAGGGAGAGAGAGAGAGGGAGGCCGCGTGCGTTCGTGTTCGGTGCCGGTGCGCGTGGCGTGGTGGCCGTGCCGTCCGTCCATCCCCGTCTCTCCTCTTCCGGCGCCGGCGACAGCGGGAGGGACTCCCGGGGAAGAATGGCTGGGGTGAGGGCTCCGCTCGGCGCGGTGGCGGTGGCCGCTCTCGTCGTCGCCATCTTCATGCCGGCCGCCGCTGCGGCGCAGGCACCGGCGCCCGCGCCCACCAGCGACGGTACGCCGTCTCTCTCTCTCTCTCTCTCTCTCTCTTCTCCTCCCCATTCTTTTCTTCCTGCAATCACATTGCGATCTGGACGCCCGCGAATCTGTGCTCCGTGCGCCTGGATCGTGGGCCACAATCGTGTTCTAATCTTCTATTGTAACAAAATCTCTGGCGTTTGTCGATCTGGTTCTTTCTTGAACCAAGAGGAAGAAAATAGACAACTGTTCGTCGAAACAAAAAAAAAAAAAAAAAAAAAAAATCACTAGTTTCCCAGTGCAACCTGCATTGCCGTAGAATTTAGATCCCCATGTCTGGACGTTAATCAATTACAGTCACAATAACGTGAATCTCCTGCATATATGTGCTTTCTTCTGCGGCAGTACTGGTCACGAATCAGGATGCGTTTTCGCGAAAAATACAAAATTAACGCGAACAGTTAAATTCTAGAAAAGCATGTTGAGATTGGAGTCGTCCTCATGCCATCTTTCAGTTTTAACTTTTAACACATAACTCCATTGCCATTCTTTATTATATGAAAAAGAGGCACTGTTATTTCGGTATATTTTGGAGAACTTCTCTTGTCAAGAATGTTCACATCTGAACCAACTGCTGTCAGATTTGCACATTGTCTATTGCATCTGTCAAGTAATGGGTTTGTAGTCTGTAGAAATGTTTTGTGGCTATAGCCGTCTCCTTGCATTTATGTTTGAATATAATAGGACTATGGCAGCTACCATTGCTCTCCTTTTTCATGGAATGCTTCTTATGTGTTGGCTGTTGCACAAACATACTATCACATTGCCACAAGAAACAGGCTTGCTGGGTATATCTGATGTGAGATGAAAAACGTAGTCCTCTTCATTCATCTAGGCTGTATGTATTTGTTGGTTGTCCTTGATAGAACAAGAGATAGTCCTCTTTAGTGCCGTTATAAAAGAGAGATGGTTCTCTGTTAATCTTTTTTGTGGTCCTAGATAGATCCATACAGGTCCTTTTCTTGTGCAAGTTCAGCCAGCGTCCATTTCCTTACCATTGTTTATACTGTCAATTGGTGTGCAGTAGTTTTCTGTCCATACTGGTATGATGGGGGATTTTCTTTGCCTGAAAATGACTGCAAACTTTCCAATGTTTTGCTGTGTGTATGAGTGATTTGAAGAATGTGTCATTTGTAGCTATTTCTGAAAACCACCTCTGTTTGCTCAGACTCGACAAATTGGTTGGTCTATGTGGGAACTGTGTGTACTATTGGTTTTCATGACGTTACTACAAATAGGAAGAGTGGGTAGAAGAACGCCCCATTCATACGACTTCTCTTTAGCTAGTCTTCCCAAATTGTTTAATGTGCCAACTGCTGTGTAGTTTTGATGAGGTAATTAGAAATAGGAAGACTGACTGGAGATTGTGCCATTTGTACTGAGTACTTTAAAGGACTCATTCCTGTCAATCTTGACAAATTTGTATAATGGGTATAAATGCTGAATACTAGTAGTATCATGGTATTACTAGGTACAGTAAGAAGTATATAATAACTTAGAAAATGTTTGAAACTAGCACGCCCAAGAAAATTTCCATTGCCTATTTCAAGTACTATGAAATCATCAGTCAGCTCTCAATAACTAGTCACTTGTGTTCATAATCGTGTATGCAACTGATCTGTAGTCATTAAGGACGGACAGTTTCAAATGCACATATGCGTACAGGTAATAATTGTGGTGATTATTACTTTAAATTACCACACGCCATGTTGAACAATGTATAGCAGTTTTCCTCTCACGCAGTCATTTCAAAATTGCATAAGGTGCTAGTAGTAACTGTATTGTTATCTTTATATTTATATATCTTCTTTTTTCTTTAAAAGACTGAGTTGGACATGCATCAAAATGCATGTGCATATCACATATGGGCAGTTACTGATAAACTACCACATGTGACAGTAAATAGTGCATGCAGTAATTTTCCTCTCGTACATCACAGGAATCTTATTCTGGTTGATGTTCTATAGTGATTCGCAGGAAGGACTAACATGTGCAACTGTCTTTTGATTGATTCCCCGCAGGCACATCAATCGACCTGGGGATTGCGTACATCCTTATGCTGGTGGCCCTGGTGCTCACCTACCTGATCCACCCGCTGGACGCGTCCTCTCCCTACAAGCTCTTCTAATCCCTGCTCCTTTTCGTTTGGTCATGCGGTTGTGGGTGCGATAGAAGTTTTAGCTACGCAAGATGTTTAGGTGAGGTTGGGAGGTTTAGAATGATGATTGCAATCATCTGATCTTGGTAAGTATCGAAGGCTCGAAGCCGTTGGTGTTCTGATTGGTTTGTATCGGATTCCATGTTCTTTGTGCTCAGTCCGTCCCTCGGTTGTGCTTGCTGTTTCGCTGGATTCTGTTTCGGCTGGTGCCGTTCGGTGCTGATTGAGATAGTTGTATGTGCTCTGCTCAGATTGCCGTTGCAAGTTGCAGCAGCAGGCATGCGAAGAGGGGTAGGTGTGCCTGGCACAGCTGACACGATGGTGGTTTCATTGTGGTCCTCCAATTCTCCTGTTCATTTATTCTTTTTCCACATGCTTGCTGGCAAATTCTGAGGCTGGTTTAGTTGCAAAAAAAAAGTTCCAAAAAAGTGCTGCAGCACCCATTATATCGAATCTTGCGATTAGTGTATGGAGCATTAAATGTAGACGAAAAAAAAATTAATTGCACAGTTTGGTTGGAAATCGCGAGACGAATGTTTTGAGCCTAATTAGTTCATGATTGAATACTATTTGTCAAATAAAAATAAAAATGCTTCCGTACTCAAATTCTAACTTTTCTCCAACTAAACACAGCCTGAAATGTGAGGCATATGGGAAGTTCGTCCTTCCTGTCCCTCATGCAACTTTGATAGTCAATGGCCTTCAAATCAAAATATTTATATTACAAACGCAATAATCGTAACACGTGGGCATTTCTATATCTAAATTTAAACGGAAATGCTAGGGCATTCGTCTGCCCAGGCGCCCCTTCGTGGGCCTAGATCTATGCTCTACGCCTATCGCGTTTTTTTATTATGGTATATTCTCGTTCATCTCTTTCGTTGTGCTGGTTGGATAAGGAAATGATAAGGATACGAGAGACCTACTCTGCTCTGCTCCGTGCGTCGACGGTCATCCCACCTGCTCCTGCTTCGTCGGTTGCCCTGCTGCCCCTGCTCTGCGGCTCGCTCCACCTCAACGGTCACCCCGCGCTGCTCCTCTTGCTCCACTGCGTCGCCCCGCTGCTTATGCTCTGCGGCCTGCTTCGCCTGACGGCATGGGCAGCGCCGCGCCCATGCGTGGCGACCGCTCCCTCGGCCATCGCGCAAGGAGAAGCATCGAGCCTAGCGTGGAAGTGCTCCGGACTCGCCTCTTGCTATGGTTGTGGCGCCTTGATGCAGATGGCGGAGGAGGCCGCAGAGAGATACGATTCATGTTGCAAGCGTACATTTCAAATATTTCAGATGTTTTAGAAGTATGTTGCAAGTGTTTCATAAGGATGTTGCAAAAGTAGATCGAGATGTTGCACATGTTGCAATGGGCTATACACGTATGTTCCAAATATTTCATCTATTTCAGACGTATGTTGCAAGTGTTTCATTTGGATGTTGCAAATTAGATCAGGATGGTGTGTATATATATATATATATATATATGTTTCTCTGTAGCTGGCTATAGAATATGGTATTTTGTAGCCGGGTCGCTGTGTCGCGTCGGACTGATCCGGTCCGACCACATGGTGTCCCAGCGATCTCGATCCTCATTCACCGCTCCCCTCCTTATCCTCATTCACCGCTCCCCTCCTTAATGAATCCTCATTCACCGCCAAATGCGTCTACTTCCCGCTCCTGCCGCCTTCCCCTCGCCCCTTTGCCGCTCAACTGGTGCCCCGCCGACGCTGCCCTCTTCGTCGCGCCTCGCGCCTCTTCCCCCGCACCCGCGTCTCGCCCCCCGCTCCTGCCACCCTTTCCCTCGCCCCCGCACCTGCTTGCCATTGAAGACCCTCATTGGATTTGCTGACGCCCTTCATCCTGCTACAATCCGAGATCACCGCGCAAGAATATGATTCGGCTGCTTCTCCGTATCATAGCCGGATTGATCCAGAAACGAAGGAAGATCCCCCAAATTTCGTTGCAGCTCCCTCTATACACCAGCCCCCTATCACGGCATCCTGATTAGCGCAGTCCACTGCTCTTCTTGGCTGCTGGGGAGGCCCAATCCTCCACCGGAAGTGGCTGCTGCAGAGGCCCCAGACATCCACGCCAGGAAGCTGCCTGCTCGTTTCTCTGCTGTTTGCTGGGAAGCTGCCTGCTCGTGTCTACTCTGCAGATCCACATCAGGCTAGCAGAGAGGATACGGAGGTGATTTATCTTATCCATGTGTCAATTTTACTATGTATATACTTGGTTCACTGATGCCCACTGCAACTTTTGTTTCCGTGAACAATTGTTTATTTTCCTTTTCTGTTTGCCTTCGCAGTCCCTGTTTACCAATGCACATTGTTGGTTTGAGTAGGCATCTCAAACCGAGCTGCATAAGTTTACATGATTCTTGTGATTTTACTTAGTAATTGATGTTCCTGCTTTCAACCGAAATTGTGCGGATCATTCTAGCTAGTTTAAGTAGTAATTGATATTACTGTTTATGGTAAATTTGATCATTCTAACTAAATTTTACCGTCAATTTTAGTACCTATATTCACTGTCCACATGTCTCGTAAAAATACTGTAAGTTCTCGTAACTATTCTCAGTGCAAAATATTTATCGTAAATATTACTGTAAGTTCTCGTAAATATTCTTAGTGCAAAAACTTGCAAAAAATTCTTGGTACAAATTCTCGTAAATATTTCTTACTGCAACGTATTCATACTATTGTCGTAAATATGCTTACCACATGGCTTACTGTTGATTCTTTCATAGGAAATGAGGCCTCCTAAACTTGTTCAGGGGAGATTGAAATCATTCACCCTGCACACCACACAGGAGGATTTCAACATTGATATAAGTGACGTCACTGGTGTATCTCAGACACTACCACCTCAACCAGTTCATCAGCAGCCACCACATTGTCCAGGACCATCGGCACACCCTCGTTCAGAGGAGGACGATGATGATGACGACTTCATGCAACCCCCAACCAGGCACCCGGTAACGAACAATAATCAACGCCGTACTACAAATGTTGTTGTCAATGCACGCAGAGATGGAAAACTGCAGAAGAAAAATGCCCCTCGCACGGAACCACCTATGAAGGTATACTGTTGTGACTAAATTGTTAATTTTTGTTTGTTCTGTGTACTATATTTTTTGCCATTTTGTTCATATGGATGTACTTTTTTCCAAACAGTTTCCCATTACATTCTTACCTTAATGTTTCCTGCTTTTCACTCTTTCTTATTAATAAACACTTATTTTGAACAATTACACAAGTCCTATGTCTCCTTTCTACAGCCTAAACAGCAAAAGGTTACCAAATACCTGCATGCACCAACTGTTCGATGTGCACCTTCAATTTTCAACTCATTTATTGATCTCCTCACCATGAGCCAGCGTACCAGAATCAATAATATGAATTTTGGTGGCCTCCTCCAGATCTGAACAGACAAGCTAGTTAGCAGAGAAATGTTGAAGTATTTGTATGACAGGCTAGACCCTGATACTATGGTATTGGTTCTTGGTAAAGATAGGGTTATACATATCAACCCTTTTGCTGTTAAGCAAGCGTTTGGCATTCCAGACAGTGGCGAAGAATTATCTCTGCACACAAACTAGGAAGCATGCAAGGCCCTGTCTGCTTTCAAGGATTTTATTGGTTTACAAGAAGATGAGGGTGTGCACACCAAGTATCTGCAAGAGATCTGGGAGGCCGACATTGAGTTAGACTCTAGGATGCTTGACGATGACATGTGCATTAAAATTTTCTTCATGATTGCTTCTAACAAGCTGTTGTTTCCTTCATCGGACAACAACATCAGGGCGAAAGATGTTTATTTGGCTAGGAATTTGTCTCGACTACCCACTATGAACTGGTGCAAGGCTGTTACTGATGAAATCCGAGATGCTGCACGCACGTGGCGACTTGATAGAACAACAAAAGTTTCGCCTTCAATTACAGGATGCGCGATTTTTCTGTTGGTCAGTTTCCCATTTATCATACATAATATGCCTTCAAATATTATGATAGCTGATTAGGTACCCACATGTATTATAGTAAACTTATTCTCCCATATTTCCATTTTTCTCGGTGTAGATAGTTTATTTGGATAACTTACGCTGCAACCACCAGATCAATCACAAGGATATTCCCCGTGCCAACTACTTTAATCAAGATTTGATCAAGAAAATAATTGCTGCTGACAAGACAAAGGACGACCAAGGAAAGGTCACATTTGGGCGATTACCGGTGAGACACAGTAACTATTGGCCCCCATTTTTAAACGCAGTCCTCTGTGTCAATGCCTATTTACTGCCACTTACCTATTTCCATTTTGTGTGTGCAGCTTAGGGACATCAATGATACGGTTTACTACATGCCTCATCATTCTATTCCAGAAAAGCCAGCAAACATACAACCTGTGACTAATATACAGTTCCCTACCATTCTTTCAGAACTAGGTGGAGTAGTAAATGTGACGGTTGCTAAGCTAAAGAGGAAGCTGTTAGTGCAAGCTTTGGCACAATTTGATATCAAATCGAAAAAGGCAACAACTTTTTTAAACAAGGGACAACTAATGCTACAAGCTTCACATGACCAGCTCGTTGCAAAGGTGCGGTCAATTTTGGAGAACCAGAGTTGTGAGAATAACAGCATAGATCACCAGGCTCAACCAACTGCTCCTAGTGCAGGTCCACAGATCTACCCACTACTCACTCTTTTGTTAAAAAAAATAGTTAATCTGACCCTATTTATTTTTTCATGTATGAAGCCGATGCCAACGATCTTGACATGCATGATATCCATAACGGATATAGCGTACAGACTGAACATGTAACCGAGGTGCCAAATCAGTCTGAAGGAGGGCGAAATCAGCTGTCTGTTGCTAATTGTATTGGTAAATGCCTGTTGCAGATCCTCATGAAACATGCAACTGCAGTTATGTCTCCACTATTTTACATTTTTTTGTTTCAGGATTTGTCACTAACCAACACATACACCGGGAGGCACATGTGCCACTGCAACAGAACAGTCCCACAAAGGCAGCGGCACCACATCCCACTGATGCCACAGCGAATGCCGAGTCAGAACAGGAATTGGATCATGAACACTCACCGGTTTGATCTCTAGTTACCATATGTCCAATCACATTAAGATTGCAGTATATAGCTATACTATTTACTATACAACTTTCTTAGTCAGTCAATAAACATGTGATTTTTATATATGCAGGTTCACACGGATGTGACAATTGGTGATGTTGTTCCTCCAATTCTGGATCAGGCGACGGACCAAGGAGGCACTGGACAAGCATCACAGATTGGCAGTATGTGTGTTCTTAAATTTGTTTGATCAAATATCATAATACTGACTTATATCAGCTGCAGGCCCCAACGTCAATGTTCATGGAGGAACCTCATCCCTGGATTCTCTAGTTGACCTCATTAGTGCATCTGTTATACCTACTGCCCACCCACAAACTACAACAACTGACACGATGACATCAGAGGCTGTTGTGCTTACTCAGACCCAACATCAGCTTCCTGATGAGGTGCCTTCCACACGTTCATTCCCCCCTTTATTGTAATTTTATCAAGCTGCTTACTACAATTTTACTATTTGGGGATGAGCACAGATTCTACGAACTGATCCCACCATTGACGATGAACCCCTCCTACCTGCTGCCCACCCACAAACTACAACAACCGACACGGTGACATCAGAGTCTGCTGTGCTTACATAGACACAACATCAGCTTCCTAATGAGGTGCCTTCCACATGTTCATTCCCCATTTATTGTATTTTTATCAAGCTGCTTACTACAATTTTACTGTTTGGGGATGAGCACAGGTTCTACGACCTGATAGCACCATTGATGATGAGCCCCTCCTACCTGCTGCTGTTTATCCAAAACCACAACACCTTACAAGACGCCCATCCAAGTACGTGTCGCCATTCAAAGGTGACCCAATGCGAACACGAGTACCAATGTCAAAGGCACTAGCTGTGAGGAAGAAGTTTCTCCCTAGTCTCAAGAGTTTAAAGTACGGCTTACGACCCCTTCTCAAATTTTGTATCATCCTACAAGTTACTGACGACTACCTTTTTCCCATACCAGTCAGGTTTTCATTAGCATAGGGTTCATAGAATTCACTGGCAATGAAATATTAGATTCCTTCCCTGATGATCAGGAGCTTTCGAGCAAATTTATGTCCTACCTTGTTCAATGCTTGAGCCATGACGAATCAGTCCGCATGCCTGATGGTGGTGGCTACAGGGTGTTCCTATCCCACCGGATTGGGGTGAGTCCACACAAAGAACACCATAACAACCGTGCCAACAAAATTTCAACTTCTTACTAATATGTCTCAACTGTCTTTCTAGGAATACGTCAATATGGAGGATGAGGAGGAATTCGAAGAGTGGCAGTTTCATAATGCCCTTGAAATTCTAGAGAGTGACATTGCTGCTGTTGACACAACTAATGTTAAGCTAGTAAGTATTACTTCTCATTCCATGAAATGTATATTAATTACAGTTTCCTTACTAATATCATTTTGGGAATTGGCAGTTCTTTTTGCCGATTATGGAGGAGGACCACTATACTGTTTACTGCATCAACCTTATACATGACCGAATATATATACTCGATTCTAGTCCTGATGACCATAGGCTTTACCATGAAGTCGTGGGAAACAGAATTATTCCAAGGCTCAATCTTCTGTTCCAGGAGGCCACAGATGGTAAGTTTAAGTCATTTACTCGATTCAGGCGACCCATCCTACCTGTCCCGCTGCAGCGCAATGCCACCGACAGTGGATACTTTGCCATCAAATTCATGGAGTTATGGAATGGTGAATCTTTCCATCTTCCAATCCTCACGGTACGTCCTAACATTGTACTTCCTTTGTCATCCAAAACGCTGCCTCTGTGTTGCAATGTTGCTGATCTCCTTTAACTGCAAAACCAGGAAAATGCGGCAATGTTTAGAGATCAGCTTCTCTACTACGCCATCTATCACCAAATCAACACTATTGACAAGCTTCCTGCTGGACTAGAAGCACTCAAGCCACGTCGATGAACATCATGTTGGGACCATTCTCCTTTGGAATGCCAGAATAAATATGGATGCCTCAAATAGTGTGTTTTTACTTCACCGCTACTGTTGGTCATCGACGAGCCAATTTACCAAAATCAAATTTGAGACCTTGTTTTCGTAGTTTCACTTCTTATACGGGATTCATTGTGTGACATATTTATCTGTACTCCGAACCTATACTATGGTCACTTTGTGTTGAAATCTACTAGTTTTATTTGGATATGCAACTTTGTCAATTTTGTGGTTTACCAATTGTTAAACTATTCTCGTAAATCCATATCTTCATACCACCGAATTCGTAAATATTATTGTGAGTTATGGCCGGAGCAGTATGCATTATACAAAATTCTCAAAAATATTCCCTATACAAGTTCCTGAAGATAGTCATAGTCCAATTCTACCATGTTATCCTCTGATATCCAACCTCATCCGTGTGTGGTTCCTTGATATTATTAAAATATTCTCGTAAATCCGTGTGTTCGTAGTAGTCAAAATACAAAATTCGCATAATTATTGAGTCATACTGATGTCATGTTGTAACGTTTACCAATGTCTCATCAGTAATATAGTAAATACTTATAATCATCAATCAAAATGGTCCTAGTTACTGTTTCAATATCCAACTTGTCAATTGGTACGTGCTTTATTCAAATATGTTACCACGTTCTAAATATTTTCAAAGATAAATTCAGATACAATTTCACAGAGAACACGTACCCCAAACTTAACCACACAATACTTATATATTATTACCACTTTTCATAGTACTTAATTATTCATACATCATTACTAGTAACGACATTTTAAACAAAATTTTTTCTGGGTTTGTGCACCAGTCCACCCATTTCATGCGACATCATCAAACTCATCCTCCAATTGCCTTTTTGTGGGTGGCCTCCCTCTCTTCCGTCCCATTTTACCACGGAAACTACCACTGCATCCTCTTTTCTTCGGAGCATTATCTGGGTTTGTAGGACATCCCGTAATATAATGGCCCTTCAATCCACAATGGGAACAAATGCGGGTGCCCCCTGACTTCTTGTTACAGGTCTCATCTCTTTCGGGCCTTTTCCCTCCGCGCTTCCTACCCTTTGTCATTGCCTCCCTCGGTGCACACTCTGATATCAGTTCATGGTTTATATTTGAAGGTGACCGGGGATCCAAACCAGTTTCAGTTTCCTCTCCTTCCCCAAATGTAGGAGCTTGATGTTCTTCTCTTACTATATTTGCCGCAACTCCTTCATTTCCATTGTCCCCAATCAATGTTGCTCCAGTATCTCTAGCAACTGATTCACCCCACTCAGCTAATGCCATGAAATCTTCACACCCTCTCTGAACTCCAATTTTTGTTTTGCGGAGTGCCCTTACCGCCATCATTGCAACTTCAACTAGCTTCTTGGTATTATACCGTTCATATTCACAGTCTTCTCCCAAATTCACAATGTCATTCCTGTCCCAAGTTACCATCATCCTAGGATCCCTGGTGTACCTCTTCTTTATATATTCTGAAGGTATATTTTCAATTTGCAGGTATGTGAAAGCTTTAATAAGATGAGCACAGAACAACCTTGAAATGATCAATTTTGTACATATAATTAATACGATTACCATTACAATATAATGATGAAAATATACTAGCCTTACTTTACTAAAACACTATCTTACCGGTATGCTCCCATGTCTTGCACTCGCATGTGTATTTACCTTCTCTCACATTTGCCTCCACTTTGAAAGAATGTTGAAACCATGCATATTTCCAAGACTCGATTCGTGTGGGTCACCAGTAACTATCAATGTTGTCCACATCAGATCAATACGAAATGCGGTACTATATAAATAAGTATCCTCAGTACTTTTGTACACAGACCCTTGTGTACACCCTGCTCAAATGGCCATCAAAGCGTTGCAAGGTCACACGGAAATTATCAGCCTATTTCATATACAAACACACCAAACATTTAGTCAACATAAGCAACAGGTAAAGCTTTATCGTATTTAGACAGTATTTATATACATACAAGTTGATACTAATTCAGTTTCAACAACTGCTTATGATCTTACCTGTGACCAATGTGTTTCTCCTGCCGCCGTGTGATTGGTGTGCTGAATGAACTCAAGCATCTTGCGTGCAAATTTGCTTATGCATGTCATATGACCTGTGAAATGCCTACTCTTGAGCATCTTATTCACACTTTCACTTCTTTGTGTAGAAGTCATCCTCCCACAATACAAAGGTTTTAGATAAGCCGCAACCCATAAGTGCCTATTCTGCCAAAGACCCTGAATAGCTTCATCTTCACGTATACCATATTCATCCACCAACGCATTCCATGCTGCCTCAAACTCTACAGGTGTAAGCGGGTGATTTATGACAGTGAGAAATTTTATCTTGAGACCCTCATGCAACTTGTATAGTTTCTTCAGCTCGTTTCGATACTTATTCAGCATGTGCCAACGACACAACATGTGTTGAGTTTTTTTAAACACCCTACTGATGGCTAAAGCCATGGCCGGATCCTGATCTGTACCACACAACATGAAGTTAAAAATCATAACATACATCTACGAGATATAATCATGAGAATTTACAAGAAGTCAAAATATTTTTAAGACATATTTACGAGAATTTACACTAAGAAGTATTTACGAGAATTAGCACCAAGACATATTTACGATAATTTGCACTAAGAAATATTTACGATAATTTGGAACCAATAAACATTTACGAGAAATTGCAATAACAAACATTTACTAGAATTTTGTATCCTATTTTTGAGAAATATTTCAGAAATTTTTGTTTTCTAACCTGTGAGTATACATCTTGGATCACGACTCCCAGTCATGCACTTTTGGAATGATTTAAACAACCACTCAAACGTGTCAGCTTGCTCATCCTGCAAAAGTGCCTGCCCAAACACGACATTTTGTAGGTGATGGTTTGAACCGACAAACATAGCCACAGGCATGTTATACATATTAGTTTTGTATGTGGTGTCAAATGTGACAACATCTCCAAAATCTCTATACTCTGCTCGCTGGCTTGCATGACTCCAAAAAACATTCTTTACAATGTTTTCATTGTCCACCTGCACCTCATAGTAGAAATATTCATTCTGAGCCTTCATCTCTTAAAAGAACTCTAGCAGCTTGGGAATATCGTTTTCCCTCTCCGCCTTGGCAGCTGCAGCTATCCTGAATTCACAACATCAAACAAATCCATTTAAATATATAAATTACCAAATGAGATGAGATGCTGTGAAAGTATTGTAATATCTACATTACCTATTTTTCAAGTCCATATCTGTGAATGTGAAGTTTTGCCGACCACCATATATGTGTGACAACACATTAACGGTTGCATTGAGTGGTACATCACACCTCTGCATCTGATCTACAATCCCCATGATCGTTGGGTCCCTCTCCTTGTGCGCCTTCATGTATTGTGTCAAGCTTGGCGACGGATGCAGGGGGTGAGAGTGTTCCAACCATATCCTCTCAAAAAACCAATACCCCTTCTTAATGTTCCATTTAACCTTCACAAATGCCATGCATCCACACCTCATTGACATTTTCTCTCTGACTCTGTCCTCCCCGGGCTCGTAGAAATCCCAGTGCCCTTGTTTATTGCAGTTCAACTCAATAACAGTTTTATGGCTCTTGGTTATGCGAACGTCGAATCCTGCTTTGCTCACATATTTGTAGTAAAACTCCTTAGCTTCATCACTATTGTTGAAACGCAACTCATCGTTTGGCACCATTGCTTCAGGTAACAAGGGTTCCTATTTCACAGACAACAACTTTATGATCACACTGAACATTTACTGGTCATACAGTACAAATTATCCCAACACCGTCGATAGATTCTTATGTACACATAGTATATACCATAGTAATTAAAAATTTTCCACTATGATTACAGCAATTCATATCAAGAAAATTTACCACAATTGGCACAAAGAAACATTTACAACAATTTTCACTAATAATATTTACGAGAATCTGCAACAGCGAAATATTCTGTACTAATAATATTTTTTACGAGAATTTACAACTATGTCCTCTATGTGTACATAGTGGATAGAATATTATTAAATATTCTGAACATTTACCATGTGTACATAGTGGACAGAATATTATTAAATATTCTGTCCACTATGTACACATGGAGGACATAGTTGTAAATTCTCGTAAAAAATATTGACTTATAAAAAACTTATAGCCAAGCATTTGGATGACTTGGCTCTTATAACTTGACTTATAGCCAAGTATTTGGCTCTACTATCCTTAATCTAAGATGTACCGGCTGAGGGACGGTGGAGGTGCTGACGAGGTCTACCAATTTGAGTTCAATGAGTGCTCTCTCGCTTCCCAAAACCAATAAGTGGACCCCAAATATGATAAAATCGATGTGCCACAACCACTATGCACATAGTCCAATGTCAGATCAAAACTACCTTTGAATGGTGCAAGGGCTTAGAACTGAGACGTAGTAATTGGTTTTGTCAAAGATATATGTTTTTATGAGTTTATATTAGAGTACAAAGTTTGCGTAAACACAAAGGGAACAGCTCCGGCCTATAAGGAGAAATTTTGGGCAGATTCTTTGGAAATTTTTGAGAAATTAGTGGCCAGCTCTGCTTCTCTTTTCAGTCTTTTGCATACTTATGTTATGTCCTTCCACCTGAAATGGCTCTGTCTCATGATCTTTTAACTTTTATAATTGTACAAATCGAATCTGCATTATACTTCGCACTTTAGTTGGATGAGCATGCAGCATTGCAACTCGCAGGTGCATGACGGCAGTGGCGAATCTAGAATTTTGTCTAAGGGTATGCCGTCCAAAAATTTTCTATACAATTCGGTAAATCTATTTCAGCAATTCGGTAATAATTATAAAATTGACAACATGATTCGGTATATATGGACTAAATAACATAACAAGGCTTCAATTCATGGATTAAGTTCAAACCATCCCCTAAGTA